AAGGATTCATAGATTTTGAGCTGCAAGGGACCTAAATGCTGATACAGCTGGCTTATGTCAAGGGCCAAAACTAGAACACAAATCTATCAAGTAGTAAGCATTTTTAATATAATATTTTATTTTTCCCCAATTACATGTTAAAATGATTTCTAACTTTTTTTGTAAGTTTTGAGTTCCAAATTCTATCCATTCTACTCCTGGGAATGCAGCATGTCTGGAGGTACAGAGAGTACCAGACCTCAAAGACCTGAATTATAATCCAGCCACAGATACTTACTAGCTGTGTGACCTTGGGCAAGTCACTTAGCCCCTGAATTTGTTTCCTCATCAGTAAAATGGGGGTAATAAAGGCAAAATGGCTGTGAGGATCAAATGAAATAACAAAAAATAAAGTACTTTCCAAATCTCAAAGTGCTATTATTACTTTGGCCCAAACAGTGAAGAACCAAAAATAAAAAATAAAGCAGTCTATGCCCTCAAGAAGCTTACATTTTATGGAGGAGGCAACATGTACATATAGAAATATATACTGAATACAATGGGCAGCTGGGTGGCAGTGGTTAGAGCACTGGGCCTGAGTTCAAATCCAGCCTTCGACACCAGCTTTTCCACCCTGTGCAAGTCACTTCACCCTGTTTGCCTCAGATTCCTCATCTGTAAAATGAGTTGGAGAAGTAAATGGCAAACCACTCCAGTATCTCTGCCAAGAAAATCCTAAATGGAGTCACAAAGAGTCGGACAGGACTGAACAACAAAATGAATACATACAAAATTGATACAAGTTCATTTTGGGAGAGAGGGCACCAACAACTTGAGGAGTGTGATCAGGGTCATTTTCAGGTACCAGGTAGCATGACCCCTACCTAAGTCAGAGGCCTTTTAGACCTACCTCACTTGATTTTATAATGCTATCTTTGATGTTAAAGCAGAAGAACATCTCAAAGCAGGAGGGAAAAACACTTTAGACCATCTTGACTTTCATCCCAAATTGCCTATCCTGAAAAGGTGGAGGAAGGCAGGTTGGGAGGGGAGAGGGACCACACAGAAAATACTGAGCATGCCCACCAGGAGGAGCTGTGAGGGCAGAATTTTAACAGGAGGGGCATTTAATCTTTCTTTAACGTTTCTGCATCAGAGCAGAAGTAAGAGGAAAGTGAGTGGGTTGAAAATCCCTGATGGGTTTTCGAAACTCAAGACTTTTCCACCATCCTCACTTCCCCCTAACCTTTGCTACAAGGCCGTGCATCACGATATTCCTTAGTAAGACCGGCTTCCAGAGGTCCCGATTTATATTCAGCTATTCTTAGTCTCTGGGGAGCAGTCTTCCGACCCAAAGTACCTTCTATTTACTTTGTGTCTCTGTGTGTGTGTGTGTGTGTTTGTGTGTGTGTGTACATAGATGCATGTATATACGTGTATATACATTGTATTTACATATGTATGTATACAATACAATGTATTTACATATATGCACTGTATAAATGTGTGCTAATATAATACACTGCATATATAAAAATGTACAGCATAAGTGCAAAATTAATGATACAGGTGTGTATATGTATGCACATAAGTATATATAACTAATACATACAACGTAGAGTTAATACATATGTATGTAGATTGTGTCCGTACACATCTCCGTTATGTGTACACACATGATTTGATTAACTTGGAACATATACTGCATGCTTTTATCCATCCTGGTCTCACCCATTAGAATGGCTCATTGCAAGTAGGGATTATTCCCCGTTCTTGATACTTGCATCAGCGCCCAGCAGTGCCCTTAGAGTAGGGGCTTAAGGTATACTTGTGGGTTGATCGAGCATTGATATTGGTTGAAACTGATCAAGGCGTGCTCCCTCCTCCCTCTTCCGTTACTTCGGGTCCCCTTTGGGATGGGACTTGAGCTTTTTTCTTGCTTGACCCTTGCCGTGGAGGGTGTAAACGGGTATGCATGTGTGTATGACTGTATTATACACGGATCATTTGGAGGAAATCCCAGCCAGTGTCGGGGTGTTCGTGGCCCCCTGCAGCCCAGTTCGGGGAGGTGAAGACTCGTGTAGCCTCCCCCCTCACCCCGCCTCCTCCTTAGCCCGGTGGGTGAGGGTGGAGCTACGGCTTGGATGAGGCAGGAGGTCAGGGGCCAGCCACGGCGGCGGCGGCAGCAGCCCCAGCAGCGAAAGGGTTAAGCGCGGTGGGCGGGGCGGGGCGGGGCGGGGCGGGGAGGAGGAGGAGGAGGTGGCCGGCCGGGGCCGCGCCTGCGCTCTGCCGCCCTCTATTGTCTCCACAGCAGTGAGGAGCAGCAGGAGAGCGAGAGGAGCCCAGACCGAAGAGCCCGAGCCGGAGCCGCAGCCGGAGCCGCCGGCGGAGCCGGGAGCACGACCCGCAGTTGCCGCCGCCCTGACAAAGCGCGAGCCGCCCTCCCCTCCCCCGCCCGGAGCCGGAGCCGAGGGGCGCTCCCGCGCCAGTCCGTCCCGAGCTCCGTCCATGGCCGCGGCGCCCCCGCTGCGGCGGCGGCAGCAGCAGCAGCAGCAGCAGCAGCGGCGGCGGCGGCAGCCCTGAGGAGGAGCCGGAGCTGCCGGGCCCCGCGTCTCGCCGCCGCCCCCGGTCTTCCGGAGCTCGGGGCGGGCGGCCGGCGGGCTGGACTGCGCCTCGCCTCGGGGCCCGGGCGGGCGGGCGGGCGACATGCGCTCGCCTCGCTTCGCCTCTAATCCTTAGTTTCTAATCCCCGCCCTCCTCCCGGGTCACCCCCAGCCCCCAGCTCGGCCCCCAGCTCGGCCCCGGCCTCCCTTTAAGCGCCCAGGACCCGCTCCAGCCGCGGGGAGGTGGGGGAGGGGGCGCTCTCGCTTTCTCGGGGGAGCGAGCCCCCCCTGCAGCCTGTGGCGCGGCCGGGGATGGGGGGCAAGCAGAGCACGGCGGGCCGCTCCCGGGGCCCCTTCCCGGGCGTCTCCACAGATGACAGCGCCGTGCCCCCGCCGGGGGGGGCCCCCCACTTCGGGCACTACCGGGCCGGCGGCGGGGCCATGGGGCTGCGTAGCCGCTCCGTCAGCTCGGTGGCCGGCATGGGCATGGACCCCACCACGGCCGGAGGGGTGCCCTTCGGCCTCTACAGCGCGGCGGCCGCCCGGGGGGCGGGCGATGCCGAGAGGGCGCCGGGCGGCGGCGGCTCCGGGGCCGACTCCACGTATGCCCACGGCAATGGTTACCAGGAGACAGGTGGTAGTCACCATAGAGACGGGATGCTGTACCTGGGCTCCCGAGCATCGCTGGCAGATGCGCTCCCTCTGCACATCGCACCCAGGTGGTTCAGCTCTCACAGCGGTGAGTTACCCCGGGGCCCCGGAGGCCTCTCGTTATGGCGATGGGGTGTGTGTCTGTGTCTGTGTCTGTGTCTGTCTGTGTGCATAGGAGCCTGGCCCATCCGCTCACCGGCATGCAGTTGGCAGCTTCAAGTAAGCCCCACGCTTGGTGGACAGATCTTAATAGGACAGGACTTGGAACTACCCAATTCCAGTCCTGTTCTACCTTGAGGCTAATGGAAATAGGTAAACCTGGACAAAAGAATTTTTGGTTTGGGTAAAGTGCAGATATGAAAAAGGGCCTGGGAGTTGAGCTATGTATATAACCTGTCTGTTCACTTGTTGGATAGGCTTCCAACTCCAATTTCTTCTTGTTGGTGTTAAAAATCCTCAGTGGAAAGAGGTGTTCCCTTGTTTCCAGTAGGTCACCTTTAGTGTCTCCGTTCTGTCACTGCAGCATTGGTTGGGCCTGTCTACTATAGTCAGAAAGATGAGCCCAGTTTGGTCTAATAACAGTCTCCTAGAATAGCTCTGTGTGTGTGTGTTTGTTGGGCAGGTGCATTTGAAATGGGGGCATTCTGTCCAGGAGGCCATCCATTTTGACACCCTGCTGAAAGCCTTGGGGCTCAGTTCAGCTTCCTTCAGTATTTACTTAAAATGGAGATGAACTGTCTTTTAGTATAGACAGGTGTAAGCTGTACTTAAGGCCAGTAGGTCCTCCAACCAAAGATTCTTTTAGAGCGGGTTCTTAAGGTTGGGGTCCACAGCCCCAAGGGATAGATTTGGAGGAGCACTGTCTGTGAACTTGAATGGGAAAAAATGCATCTTTATTTCATTATAATTGGTTTCCCTTCTATCCTGTGTATTTTATACATTTAAAAACATTATTCTGAGAAGGGATTTATAGGCTTCACTGAACTGCTAAAGGTCTCCATGCCATTAAAAAAGGTTAACCCCCATCCTAGAGGCTCCAGGGGGTCTCTGCTTTGTTCACTCATGCTGCAGGAGGTTTGCTTGAGTCTTTTTCCCATCCATAGGTGAGTGCTGGCTATGATTGTTAGGAATCTACCTTCTTTTGTGTTTGGGAAAAACTATGTTAGATAAAATTGTATTGTCTGTTATATACACATAATGGAATGGGGAGGGGTAATAAAAAAGGTGGGGCTTTGAAAAGAGACCCGATAAAACTAATTTTGCTAACATGAGGAAAGGTCAGTAAGAGCTAGAAATGGGGTTTCCCAGGCTGCCAGCTGGCAGACTAACAAAGTCCCAGCTGGACTATAGGGAAAGAACAGGTCAACCTCCTTAGTCAGGATGCAGCAGAAGGAAGACTTCTTGGAGTGACTGTTGGGACCACCACTTGCTGGAGTATAGCTAAGAAGTCTCACTTGAATTGAACTCCAATGGGGAGTTAAGTAAATTAGTCTCAGACTCTTTATCTCTGTCTTTCATGGAATTTTTCTCCCCTGGTTTTCCACTATTCCGCTATTATGAAATGAGGTGGACCTTTTTTCTGGGAATAGTATGGATTTCCTTTTACTGTTCTTCCCCTCTAGAGTTTGAAAAGGAAACCTATGAATTCCAGTTAGTTATACAGGGAAGTAGTGACTAAAGTTGGGAAACAATTGAAATTATTTGCTGAACTCTGCTAATATTTTCTTATCCCCAAATGTATTTCTAGGCCTAGTTGGAGAAAATATGATCTGCATTGTATCCTTGAGTGAGATGCTTAGCATGAGAATCAGTGATATGTACCCTGACTAGATTAGGCATCTTGAAATGATAGACTTCTATAACAGCCCCCAAACCAGCAATTCTACCTAAGTATCTGTGATCTATGTATATGATCTAATGTTTTGATCTTTTTGAGAGGTTTAAAACATATTTTGGAGGGGATCTTTCTCTAGAGCCAGATGGATTCTCTTCCCCACACCCCTTTCTAACCTCCAAGAGTCTCTTTTTCATTAAAAAGAAGTGCCTGTTTACATCCAGATATACTTATCTATCCTTCCTTGTTATGCTCCAGTTACCCTGTGCTACTATTAAATACCTTGCTGGAGATGAGGGGTAGCAGACTCTCTGAAACCTTAGAGAAAGAGAAAAGCTTTGACCATTGGAAGGTGTGACTTTTTCATTTAGTTGTGATGAGAACTCTGGGAGAATAATAGGGATAGTCATTGGACCATGGGGATGGCAGTGGAGAATTGCAGCATATCAGTCCTCTGTAGACCGATTTTTTAATTTTTCCAGTAAAGTTCCTTTGAAATGAACTTCTTGAACCTTCATTTTTTTTTAAGTATTAGGTTTATTTATTTACTTCATTAGGTATTAGGTTTCACCTCTTGGCATGTAGGAACCAGGATTTAGCGTGATATACTTCCCTTGCAAGAAGAGACTTGCTTATCCCCTCTGGAATGAGGCCTGAGCTTTCTTTTTAACCCTTGCCCTAGAAAGGTGCAAAGGGTATGTCTAACTTTGGAATTCATAGAGGTCTAGAGGATGCTGCAACTACTTAGTTACTGAAGAATAAGGCAAACAATTAGATATGATACATTTGCCAGTGTGAATTCATTGAGGTAGGCTCAATTATGGTAAGTTCTTTGAGGGGTACTAGAGAGCATGATAAAGTAGTATAATAAGTAACATGTCCCTTTTTCCTTAGGAACTTTCATGGCAGAGCTGGCCTCTTAATCTGTATTCTCTGCTTTTATAGGATTTAGAACTAGGAAGGACCTTTATAGACCATGATTTCCTGAAGGGTTGGTTCTGAGACTAGCTATTCAAAAAGTGCTACTCAGTAATATCCCTTGAGTTGCAGACATTGTCTTAACTATTGACCTCTTCTTCCTGGCTAATACTTGATGCTATTGAGACAGCTGTTTGGACTATTCAGCTGAAGGCCTTGATGCTTGGGTGCCAGCACTGTTTTTCTAAGAAAAACATGAGGATGTAGATAGGAGGAAAAGGCAGAACTCACCTGGGTCCCAACATGTTGGCTGCATTTTCAATGTGCCATTGTAGAATGACTGGTCAATTAATGTTGCTGTTCAAACATTGTTGTCATATCTCCTGTGCACACGTACATATTGGGAAAATCCAAGCTATCTTCTCCTGTCGCCAGTCCTTGAGTCACCCACTTTAAGAGGATGAAAAGTCACCTTAAACTATTAGAAAACCAACCTACAGATTTTATTTTCAAATTTATTTGTTCAGAGAGAGCCCCTTAACTTATACAGATTAAGAATCAAAAAGGTTTCATGTGTGTCTCACCAGAGGTGAAGAGATAACAAACCTTCAGATAGGTTTCTAATATTAATAACAATAATAATAGCTAGCCTTTATATAGTGCTTTAAAGTTTGCAAGGTACTTTACGAACGTTATCTCATTTGATCCTCACAATATCCCTGCAAGGTAGGTGCTGTTATTACCTCCATTTTACAGTTGAGGAAACTGAGGCAGAGGTTAAATGACTTGTTCAGGGTAACACAGCTAATAAATATCTGAGGTGGGATTTAAATTCAGGTTTTCTTTATTCCAGGCCCAGCGCTCTATCCCATGTGCCATCTAGTTGCCCCCAGATCTCAAAAGAGAAGAAATGAACCACTTGATCAGAAAAATTTTTTATCAACACCTTAAGGGGATAGGGACAGGAACTAGCTAGATCTGCAATTTAATTATTATGAGGTATTTACCTAGTAAGACTCTACTAATGCAGATCTGCAACTTCTCTGTACCTTAGAGTCTTTAGAGAGTTGCCTAGAACCCTGGGAGTAAGTAAGTTGCCCAGCCAGGGTCACACAGGCAGGGTTTATCCAAGGCAGGACTTCTGGGCTCCAAGGGCAGTATTCTACTATGCTGTGTTGCTTCTACAATTTATGGTTCATCAGAGGATAAAAAATATGGAGAGATGGTGTCATGGTGACAGATTTGGTACCCAATTTTAAAATTCCTGTTGCTTGAAGATGAAGAGTTAATTTCCTGAAGTAGAAGCAGTGAGACTCTCCCCATTAGAGTCAGAAAGGCATTGCAAGAAATAAGGATTTATGTTAGCCAGACTATTAATGTGTTTGTTTTTGTGGAGTGTATACATTTTCAGATTAAACAAGAACTAGTCAGAAATATAGCATGACTAATATTCTGGGCCAGGCCACTGTTTTAACTGAAGAGCTATATAATTATAATTTACTTAAGAAAAAGGATCAAGCTTTGTATTAGAGGAAAAGAGAGAAGAAATAAGCATTTCTATAGTGCCTACTATGTGCCAGATGTTTTACAAATATTATTTCATGTGATCCTCTCAATAACTCTGCAAGGTAGGTGCTGTTGTTATCCCCATTATACAGATAAGGAAACTAGGGCAGACAGAAGTTAAGTGACTTGATCAGGGTCACATAGATAGTCAGATTTGGATTCATATCTTCCTGACTCCAGGTCCACTGTGCCATGAAGCTGCCTTCTGCAGTATTATTTAAGGAAATTATATTGGAAATCGAAATTTTAGTGAATTCAATTCTGAAACTACATCTGAGTTGGAATGTTTCCATATGGGAAATAACTCTACTCTCAATCCTTTATTATGGTTTCTGGTGGTGACCCTTCATGAAGTCTTTCTCCTGGTACAAAACATTATGGGCAGATGGTAAAAGGCCTGGACTTAGACAGAAGGAGAGATGTGGGTTTGAATCCCACCTTTGTGTGATCATGAGGAAGTCCTCAGTTAGCATTGCATAAGCCTCAGCATTCTCATCTGTTTTATGAAATGAGGATAATACCAGTTGAAATTATTTCTGCCAACACTTTGGATTTTATTGATGGGTTATTTGCCTTGTATTCTTGGTGCCTTAAAGAAAGATTGTAGAATAAGTAAGGTACCTCAGTGGAAGCAGAGCTTTTGAGTTCCTCCTGTAAAGCTTTGCCATTAACTTGGCTGGAGGCCATCTCAGTTATAAGGAGTTCCTCAGAGGACCTGGGAATGGGGGAGGAAAGGAGTAGCTTTCAGAGGGGTGAAGTCTTGAGAAGCT